TTTCATGGGATTATTCATTTTATGCATGAGATCTTACCATTGTTGGAAGATAAGTATGCTCATGCTTTAGTCAGGGTGGGAACTATAAATACTGATGGGAAAGAGAATTGAAATGCCAAAAACAGTGGCTTGAAAGCTATTCATGTCATGAACCTGTGTACATTTTCTTATGCATGCAGTTGTAATTTTTTTGGTAGTTGTACAATTGATGTATTCACTTTTTAGTCAAGTTCCTTATATGTAACCATTTTAAAAGGTCCTCAATTCCTTTCTTAGACCCAACTTAAGTTGACGTTATTTGCCATCAATCCAGCCATCAATCCGACTTATGGCAACCCTATGAATAAGAGCCCTCCAAGGGTCCCAGTCATCAACAGCTCTTGCAGACTCGGAGCAATGATTTCTTTGGTTGAATCAATCAACCATTTGTGCTTTAGTTGGTACCAACTGAAATGGAGGCATTGAATCAACTGGATTCACCTGTGTTTTGCTCCACTATTCAACTATTGGTTAAATGCCGTGACTCCTTAATACATTTCCTCATGTTGTGGTGACCTGCAGCCATAAAATTATTTTCATTGCTACTTCATAACTGTAATTTTGCTACTGTTATGAATTGTAATGTAAATATCTGATATGCAGGATGTATTTTCCTTCACTGGACCAAATTTGGCACAATACCCGATATGCCCCAATTTGAATACTGGTGGGTTTGATTTTGTCATTTGGAAATTGTAGTTGCTGTGATTTATAGTTAACCTAGAATCAAAGAGCATTCTGAACTCCACCAATGATGGAATTGAACCAAACTTGGCACACAGAACTCCCATGACCAACAGAAAATACTGGAAGGGTTTGATGGACATTGATGTTGAGTTTTGGAGTTGTAGTTAACCTACATCCAGAGAGTACTGTGGACTCAAATAATGCTGGATCTGGACCAAACTTGGGGTGAATACTCAATAGGCCCAAATGTGGACACTGGTGGAGTTTGGGGGAAATAGACTTGATATTTGGGAGTTGTTGCTGCTGGAATTTATAGTTCAACTACAATCAAAGAGCATTCTGAACTCTACCAACAATAGAATTGGGCCAGACTTCCCACACAGAACCCCCATGAGCAACAGAAAATACTGACACCTCCTTGAGAAACACTGGGCTATTGTTATGTGATTTGTTTTGGACTGGGATGATTTGTTTTGGAGAACATCTTGAATTACTAACAATGGAGCAACTTGAGAACTAACATTATTGTACTGTGAAGATGTGGTCGCCATCCATAAGAAGTTAACTGTCCAGTATGAACAAGAGAATAACAAAAGTACAAAAGAGTTGTTTTTTAAAATAATTCAGGATTGGGGAATTAGAAGACCATCTTGCTCTCTAGACCGATCAGCACCTACCAATATGGTCGACGAAGAGACATAATAGGAGTATAAGCATCTGGAGAGACATGCATTCCCCATTCCAGGTGTACCTTTTTAAGGCTAAAATATCTCTGCCAAACACAATAAACATTTTTGTACTGAAAAGGTCACATGACAGGCAATAACTGGACTGGTAGATCTGAAGCAGTAATCTCAAAATTATGGCACTCATCAATGGTTTCCAATCAAGGTGTCCCTTCCACAAAGCTGAATAAAATTCAACATTATCTGCTTTGAACTGTAATATATGGCAGTTTGGAATCAGATAACCCAGTTCAAAATGGATATTATGGGATTTTCTGCCTTGATATTCTGGGATATATAGGGCTGTGTGGAAGGCCCTAAATGTCTATCTGAACTGTCAAGGAGCTTTCCGAGGTGCTGAATCTCCTTAAAGGGTTAGGAATTGCCCTTTAAGAGTTCACTTAATTTTGAAACTACAGTAGAGTCTCGCTTATCCAACTTTCGCTCATCCAACGTTCTGTATTAGCCAGCACAGTTTTCCTTCCGCTCATATCCACAGTTGTTTCAATACATTGTAATGTTTTGGTGCTAAATTCATAAATACAGTAATTACTAGATAACGTTACTGTGTATTGAACTGCTTTTTCTGTCGATTTGTTGTAAAGCATGATGTTTTGGTGCTTAATTTGTAAAATCATAACGTAATTTGATGTTTAATAGGTTTTTCCTTATTATCCAACATTTTCACTTATCCAACATTCTGTCAGTCTATTTATGTTGGATAAGCGAAACTCTACTGTAATACCAGGAGTGGATCCAACTCTCCACCACCTTCCATTTGCATGTATCCAGTGACTAGAGATAGATTCATAGGATTTTCAGCCAACCAGTCATTGATGACTTTCAACCGTGGGAAGACTGGAGACTTGAGCTCAGGTGTAATCTTTCCATCTGGATTTCTTTCTTAACTAGTCTGCGTATGGAATATTTCCAACTGTTTCACCCCAGGTTGGTTTCTCTCCTAGATCCACACATATGACATTGATCTTTGCCTTTTTTCCCCAAGTGAGTTTTTATATAGGGTTGCAATCACTTTTATTGTGTGTTTTTTTTAAAAAAACAACAGTTTCCTTTCTACCGAGTGCATTTTCTCACCTGAAAAAAGCAAACATCTTAGCAACCAAAGGATAAGTTACTTTCTAAATGCATAAACAAAACCTAAACTATAATAATAATAATAATAATAATAATAATAATAATAATAATAATATACTGCTTTTTCTCTCCACAAAGGAGACTCAAAGTGGCTTCAGAGTAGTGGTTCTCAACCTTCCTAATGGTGCGACCCCTTAATACATTTCCTCATGTTGTGGTGACCCCCAACCATAACATTATTTTCGTGCTACTTCATAACCGTCATTTTGCTACTGTTAGGAATCATTATGTAAATATCTGGTATGCAGGATCTTTTTTCATTCACTGGACCAAATTTGGCACAAATACTAGGCTTGGGCGGTTTCGTTCGTTAATTTCGTAATTCATTATTAATTCGTATTTAAATTAGCTTACGATCCAATATTGAGCCATGCAGGACTACTGTGAGGAGTAATTAAAAATCGAAACAATTTTTCCAATTTATTTCGTATTGTTTCGTAATTGTTTCGTAATTGGTTCAAAATTGTTTCGAATTTGTTTCATAATTATTTCGTAATTGTTTCGTAATTATTTCGTAATTATTTTTGCATGTCTGGTGCAAGTTTTATAGTTGTTGTTTGTTTTATCACACCAACAGTCAACAACAGAGGGAGAGGGAAGCTTCAGAAGTTCCCCCTGTCCCATTTGGAGGTTTTTTTAGCATATTGCGCAATCGCGTCCGCCATTAACGAATCGATTCGTAATTTTATGAAATTTCGTATATTTCGAACTTTTTTAAAGGAAAATTTCAGAATTCTTTAAAAAAACGAAACGCAAGGGCCCCCCTAAAAACGAAACGAGTTTAGAACCAAATTTTTCCGTGGTTACCCAAGCCTAACAAATACCCAACACACCCAAATTTGAATACCGGTGGGGTTCGGGGAAGATTGCTTTTGTAATTTGGGAGTTGTAATTGCGGGGATTTATAGTTCAGCTACAATCAAAGAGCATTCCAAACCCTACCAGTGATAAAATTGGGCCAAACTTCCCACACAGAACCCCCATGACCAACAGAAAATACTGTGACACCCTCTTGTGACCCCTCCAGGGGCCTGACCCCCAGGTTGAGAAACGCTGCTTCAAAGCATTCCAGGTTGTCTTTCTCCTTCAAGGGAAAACATTTAAAACATATTAGTTTTAAATGCATTGTGGTGGTATTGTCTAATGTTTATTGCTATTGTTTTAATGTCTATTGCTTGTTTTTTGAGTTTTATTTATTGTTGTATTTGTAATGCTGTTGTTTTATTGATGTGTTGGGCCTCAGCCTCTTGTAAGCCACACCGAGTCCTTCAGGAGATGTTAGCGGGGTATAAATAAACATTTATTATTATTATTATATCTATAATTAAACATTGCAAAGGATGGCTTTGAGGATGAGTCCACGCTTCTTTGTAGGGTGCAATTTTTGTTTGTTTGTTCTCCCTCTACTTTCTCTACTTTCTACATTACAAAAAAAAAAGTGAAAGAAGGCTCTTTTCCTTCCCCCACTCCTCTCTTTGCGTTTACATTTTTCTGGTCTGGAAACTGGCCAGGAGGCAGAAATGCTGGTCAAGTCAGTTGATCCCTGGCCAGTTAGTGACCCTGTTTCCAAAGCTCCCAATTGTACTGTTTCCAAAGCTCCCAATTGTACACAATAATGAAAAAACTGCATGTCTGCAATCCTGGGAATGTTGTCCCAATATATTCACAGATATGGACTTCTAAATAATATTCCATTTGTTGTTGTTATGTGCCTCCAGGTCCTTTCTGAGGCATGGCAACCCAAAAGTGAACCTATCATGGGTTTTTTTTGGCATGGTTTGTCCAGAAGGGGTTTGCCATTGCCCTCAACTGTGTGACTTGCTCAAAGTCATCCATAGAGTGATGCTTTAGAACACACATAACAAATGTATTTAATACCAGTTTGTAGGACAATGTGTGTGTATGTAAAGCTGGAGACCAGCACATTTTAGAGCTGTAGCCTGTCAAGAATATGAATGTGAAAGGCAGAGTGTACGAGGGGCATTAATTAAATATTTTTCCTGACTCACTTCTATTTATCACAGGATGCTGATACTGCACATGTGTAATGATATAAGTCTCTATAAGTTATGTGCCAATTTACAACTCAGAACTGAAAACAGTCTTGATTTTACAGGTGCTGAAGTGGTGTGAGGTTTGAGAATGGACCCAGTGGAATACATAGCAGTCCTCAAGTTCCTTTCCTTGAAAGGCCGCACACCAAAGGATACGTACAATGAGATTAAAGAGGTTTATGGTGATGATTTCCCATCATATGATGTAGTCAAGGACTGGCATCGTCAATTCAAATATGGTCAGACTTCGGTGGAAACAGCTCCAATTCCAGGGCGACCCCACTCTGCGATTGATGAACACACCATCTGGTGAGTGGAGGTCACCATTTTGGAAACTCACCGCTCGCCACGTCCTTGGCTGCTCATACCTTTGCAGAAGCAGGAATGACTCAAATGCTCCCAGGCTCCATTAACCATTGCTAATGGAGCCTGTTAATTGCCATGGAAACCAGGAGGACTTTTTCAGCAGACCGATCACAGAGGATGAAAGCTGGGTTCATCCTGAGACTAAAGTCCAGTCGATGCAATGGAAGCATAATTCCTTACTGCCTCCAAAGAAGGCATGTGCCCAACTCTTGGCAGGGGTTGGGAAAGACCATCAGAAAACACAGTATTTTCTGTTCGTCATGTATGGGAAGTTTGGCCTAATTCTTTCGTTGGTGGGGTTCAAAATGCTCTTTGATTGTAGGTGAACTATACATCCCAGCAATGACAACTCCCAGATGTCAAGGTTTCCCCCCCCCAAACTCCACCAGTGTTCACATTTGGGCATATTGAGTATTAGTGCCAAGTTTGGTCCAGATCCATCATTGCTTGAGTCCACAGTGCTCTTGGCATGTAGGTGAACTACAACTCCAAAACTCAAGGTCAATGCCCACCAAATTCTTCCAGTATTTTCTCTTGGTCATGGGGTTCTGTGTGCCAAGTTTGGTTCAATTCCATCATTGGTGCAGTTCGGAATGCTCTTTGATTGTAGATGAACTGTAAATCCCAGCAACTACAACTCCCAAATGACAAAATCAACCCCCCACAACCCCACCAGTATTCAAATTGGGCGTATTGGGTATTTGTGCCAATTTGGTCCAGCACCAAAAGTCGCCTCTTCTCCTGACTTTCTCTTCAGCCATTGGGACCAAGAAAGAGAGAGAGAGAGAGAGACCCCTCCGGCTGGAGGTATCTCCCACCTCCGCTCCCTCCTTTGTTTTTGCGCCTACCTTCAGGAACGGTGGGCATCTCCACCTCTCTCTCTCTCTCTCTCTCTCTCTGTCCCAATGGCTGAGGAGAAAGTCAGGAGAAGAGGTGACTTTTGGTGCACACGCCGGGGTCTTCAGGCACGCCTCCGGACCCAAAGCAGGCCAGGCAAGAGAGCAAGTGCGGCAAGTGTAGTTACTGGGATGTATAGTTCACCTACAATCAAAGAGCATTCTGAACTCCACCAATGATGGAATTGAACTAAATATGGCACACAGAACTCCCACGACAAACAGAAAATATATATCAATGATTGGTTGGGGGTGGGGGTGGGGGCCAAAATACTGTTTGCTTACCGTTGAAAATTACCTAGGGCCACCTCTGGTCACAACATTAGGAAGGTTGAGAAACCCTACACTAAGCAATGACCATGAAAGAGGCACAGAGCCCCTCCTGTTCAGATGTCTTGGTTCCATACTCTCCTAGTGATATATTTTTCTGCAAGGACAGCCTTAGATGCTCCTGGTTTAGTGCTCAAGCACTGAGGCAAAAGTGTCACAAATCCCCTTGCTGCCACAAGCCCACCCTTGCTCTTACCTTCTGCAGCCACTGTGTGTTGTTCTCCATGATGTCTTCCAGCTGCTGAAGCCTCTTTACCGGCCACTTGGCTTCAGAGACAGATGGGGCATCTCTTTGGAGAGAGTTGGAAACCTGGTAGTCAGCAGCAGAGGAGTCACAGCTGCCCACCTCTGGCAACAGGAACGTATAGGTGCAGGAACCCTGTTGCACCCGGTGCTGGATCCGTTCCGCAGCATCCTTCCCTTTGAGACCAAGCCCCAAAGCCCCTAGATCGATCCCTGCCCATACAAGGAAGAAGAAAGATCCCGATGACCACCAGCCACCCATATTGCAGTCCTGCCTTAGAAAGAGAGAGAAAAATCTTGTATGCCAGTTTCAACTCCACACCGTTATCTTCTGGACCAGTTCCTCCAACTAGGGGTGTTCGGACAGCTCTCAGGCTAGGACTGAAGGTTTCAAGAATGCTGTTTATGTGAGAAGGAAAGTCCCTATGACTACTTTCTCCGTTCTCTGGCTCACGTTCGCTGGACAGCTGCTGGAAGTTTTAAGATTACGTTTGATAAACCCTCCCACCGTCTCCCTGCTCTCGTCCCATCCCACTCCACGCTGTCTTGGCCTCAGCAGGTTTCTGGAACATGGTCAGGCTTCATTTAAGGATGTTTGCTGAGTCAAGTTCTGCTTCTGATGAGATAATGAGGCCACAAGAATGTACACTCTGAGGTCAGATCTTTCTGCTTTGTTTGCTCCAGCACACTGTCAAGTTCTCCTGGCCAGCTTGGCAGAAACAGTGTTGGTCTTCCCAAAAACCCCAGAGGAGTATTTTGCAGTTTCGCTTCAGTGATAATGTGAGAATATGGAAAGGAATCCCTTTTGGGAATGCAAAAGAACCTAATATTGTACTTAGATTGTTTGTTACTGTGTACCTTCAGGTCATTTCTGACCTATGGTGACCTTAAGTGATCCTACCATGTTTTTAGGAGACTGAAAGTGTGCCACTTGCCCAAGGTCACCGAGTGGGTTTCTTTAACTGAGCAGGGAACTGAAGTATGTCCCAAATGGACACAACGTGACCTCTGAATGAAGAACAGAGTTTTTGAGAACCGAGACATCCGTAGGGATACCAAGGTGCTTGTTTATAAAGCTATTATCCTCCCAACCTTGCTATACACCTGTGAGATGTGGACTACCTACAGATGTCACATGCAACTCCTAGAACTATTCCATCAGCGTTGCCTCTGAAAAATCCTGCAAATCTCTTGGGAAGACAGGTGGACAAATGTGAGCATGCTGGAAGAAGCAAAGACCACCAGCATTGAAGCGATGGTCCTCCACCATCAACTCTGCTGGACCGGCCACATTGTCCGGATGCCCGACCACCATCTCCCAAAGTAGTTGCTCTACTCCGAACTCAAGAACGGAAAATGCAATGTTGGTGGACAGGAAAAGAGATTTAAAGATGGGCTCAAAGCCAACCTTAAAAACCTTGGCATAGACACTGAGAACTGGGAAGCCCTGGCCCTTGAGTGCTCCAGCTGGAGGTCAGCTGTGACCAGCAGTGCTGCAGAATTTGAAGAGGCACGAATGGAGGGCGAAAGAGAGAAATGTGCCAAGAGGAAGACACATCAAGCCAAGCCGGACGGGGACCGTCTTCCGCCTGGAAACCAATGCCCTCACTGCGGAAGAAGATGCAGATCAAGAATAGGGCTCCACAGTCACCTACGTACCCACCGGCAGTACACTGATCTTGGAAGACAATCCTACTCAGATAACAAGGGATCACCTAAGTAAGTAAAGTAAGAAATGTGCACACACAGAGAGATATACCATTTGATCTTCTTCTACAACAGTGGTTCTCAACCTTCCTATTGCTTCGACCCCTTCATACATTTCCTCATGTTGTGGTGACTCCCTACCATGAAATTGTTTTTTGTTGCTACTTCATAACTGTAATTTTGCTACTGTTAGGAATCGTAATGTAAATGTCTGATATGCAGGATGTATTTTCATTCACTGGGCCAAATTTGGCACAAATACTCGATACACTCAAATTTGAATACTGGTGAGGTTGGGGAGGGGTGTTGATTTTGTCATTTGGGAGTTCTATTTGCTGGGATTTATAGTTCACCTACAATCAAAGAGCATTCTGAACTCCATCAACGATGGGATTGAAGTAATCTTGGCATACAGAACTCCCATGACCAACAGAAAATACTGGAAGCGTTTAGTGGCCATTGACCTTGAGCTTTTGGAGTTGTAGTTCAGCTATATCCAAATAGCACTCTGGATTCAAACAATGATGGATCTGGACCAAACTTGGCATGAATCCTCAATATGCCCAAATGTGGACACTTGTGGAGTTTGGGGGAAATAGACCTTGACATTTGCAAGTTGTCGTTGCTGGGATTTATAGTTCACTTACAATCAAAGAACATTCTGAACCCCACCAACAACAGAATTGGGCCAAACTTCCCACTAAGAACCCCCATGAACAACAGAAAATACTGGAGGGATTTGGGATGAATTGACAGTGATTTAGGGTTGATGTTGTTCATCTACATGTGGAGGGAACTGTGAATCCAAATGCCAAAAGGGGTTCCTAAAACCATCAGAAATATGTGTTTTCTGATGGTCTTTGGCAACCCCTCTGAATTTCACATATTCTCTACTTTGCATATTTTGGTTTAGCCAGTCTAAGTATGACACAAGATGCTACGTTGCAACAATGCAGTCTTGAGGTTTCCAGTGTATGCATTGCCATCTTTAGATCCTCCGGGTCTTGGAAGACGTGCAGATCCCTTCCCACTATTCTTTGGTCGACATTTCTCTCTTTGAAGAAACCCCAATATCCACGGGCAAAATATTCCTAGGTGGACTCCAGTTACCTAAAACATGCTGAAGAACATAACAAATCCCAAAAGAGACACCCCCCCCCCCCCCCCCCCCCCGGATGTGAGTTAATACAACTGTAGCTATGGGTTCTGAAGTCACTGGTATATTACTTCATTTGATGGATTCATAGTTTAAGGCCCTTCAGGTACTGTTGATGGTATTGATATCTGTAGACAGTCATATTCCAGATGCTTTCTGGAATATCAGCTAGTGAAATGGGCTAGATCTGGCATGTCTCGTGGTGCCCAACTCTTTCAGCCTTTCCTGAGACCCATGAATAGCTGAGGGTACTTAAATCTTCATAACTCAGAGCTACCTACTTTTTCTTTGTGAGTTCTTAACTTTAACTGGTTAACTTTCTACGAGGGCTATCCAGAAAGTAAGGTTACAAGATTTTTTAAAAATACAAAGAATTGATATATTTTAATAAACCTTACATGGATTGTAGCATAGTTATTACATTATGGTATTTTTCCACATAATCACCACTCAGTTTCCCCTGCCTATTACAGGGGAAACCAGCTGATCCCTAATCCATCTAAAACACAGACATGTGCCTTTCACCTTAAGAACAGACAAGCATCCCGAGCTCTGAGGATTACCTGGAAAGGAATCCCACTGGAGCATTGCAGCACACCCAAATACCTGGGAGTCACCCTGGACCGTGCTCTGACCTACAAGAAGCACTGCCTGAATATCAAGCAAAAAGTGGGTGCTAGAAACAATATCATACGAAAGCTGACTGGCACAACCTGGGGATCACAACCAGACACAGTGAAGACATCTGCCCTTGCGCTATGCTACTCTGCTGCTGAGTATGCATGCCCAGTGTGGAACACATCTCACCACACTAAAACAGTGGATGTGGCTCTTAATGAGACATGCCGCATTATCACGGGGTGTCTGCGCCCTACACCACTGGAGAAATTACACTGTCCAGCCGGTATTGCACCACCTGACATCCACCGGGAAGTAGCAGCCAATAGTGAAAGGACCAAGGCAGTGACATCTCCAGCTCATCCCGTTTGGGTATCAGCCAGCACGTCAATGACTTAAATCAAGAAATAGTTTTCTTAGATCTACAGAGACACTCGCTGGAACACCCAGCAAGCGAGAGTCCAAAAGTGGCAGGCTCAAACCCAGAACCTCAACCAATGGCTGATACCAAATGAGAGACTCCCCCCTGGGCACACAGAAGACTGGGCAACTTGGAAGGCGCTGAACAGACTGCGCTTTGGCACCACGAGATGCAGAGCCAACCTTCAGAAATGGGGCCACAAAGTGGAATCCTTGACATGCGAATGTGGAGAGGAGAAAACCACAGACCACCTGCTGCAATGCAACCTGAGCCCAGCCACATGCACAATGGAGGACCTTCTTGCAGCAACACCAGAGGCATTCCAAGTGGCCAGATACTGGTCAAAGGACATTTAATCAACTACCAAGCTTGCAAAATTTGTGTTTCTTTTATCTGCTTGTTTGTTTTGTTCTGTTATAAACGTAATACAATGGTCTGGTTGCCCCTGACACGATAAATAAATACCACTCAGTTCAATACATTTTGTCATCCATGGGACCAGTTTTTGATGCCTGTGTCATAGAAATTTCCCTCCACCTTTTTCAGCCAGTTCGTCACTTAGATTTTTACCTCGTTGTTGTTGTCGGAAAAGTGTTTTCCACCCAGGTGTTCCTTCAATATAGTGAATAGATGACAGATACTGGGTGTGAGATCAGGACTGTGAGAGGGGTGGCTTAAAACATCCCGACCAAACGAACTCAACAGCTCTTGTGTTGCATGAGCGGTGTGTGGACACGCATTGTCATGAAGGAGACAGACTCCTGCTGTCAGCATCCCACAGTGTTTGTTTTGGATGGCTCTGCCAAGTTTCTTCGTGTCTCACAATATATTCCATACTCATTTTGTCACATACTGTCTTGACATTATATCCTCTCCATAAACTAAATCGATTTTGCGATTCATGTCCTTAGCATTTAGGTAGTGGGAAATAGAATGAAGACGCTCATCTTTAACCTTCACCACAACGCCAGTCGATGAGCTACTGACGACTGGTATTGCTCATTTGCTTCCGCTGGCTTCCCACTACACGGCACTGATACCAACTTCCCCCGTGAAAATTCCCTATGAGAGCTACGTGCCTTGGAACCTTACTTTCTAAATAACTTCCGTATTTTCTGAAATGACTGGAAACCCTGCTTGACAGTAACACTCCCCTCCCCAAACAAACAAACAACAAGTCCCCAAATATAATTGTATTTTAGCATGCTGCATGCCTCTTTCCTGCAAGGGTCATTCAGTGCACATTTATTCCAGTAAATATTTACCACTGCATTCCGTGAAATCCGAAGCTGATTGGAATTTTCCTCCCTCTCCATTTTATTTTTATTTTCTTACACAACAACCTCCTGTTTTCCTGTAA